AAAACTCCACTTAAACAGTTACCTGCCTTGATGAAAAGGTCGTCATAAAACCTGAGGAGTGATGGTGGCTCATGGTTGGAAGCCCTGGTTTGTAGTGCCGGGCACGAGGCTCGCACACGCAGAAATGTCCGTTTGCCTCCTCTCTCTGCCCTAGCGGACAGAACACATGGACAGACAGCTGTCCTCTGCAAGTGGGTTTTATGGTAAGTAGTAGGTGTGATCCCTGTGTTACAGGCTGGTACATTACATTTTAAACTCTAGTGCCTTGTACATTGTAGGTATTCAGAGAATGTTTTGGGGGTTTGGTTTGGTTTGTTTTTCTTTAACACTGAAACAAAGGTTGCATTTGTGCTTTCTGTCCCCCAACATGCCTATGTTGTCGGTTGGAGTAATAGTAGATTATAGTTCATTTCACTTTTAATTTCCTTCCTCCCTTATTCCCTTCCTTCCTTCCTCCCTTCCTCCCTCCCTTCTGATTCTCTCTGGCAAAGAACTGTATATGATTTTGAGGGACATTTCAGAGAATCGGTGAGACGGAGTTGTAACTAACTTATTGGTACTAGCTCATATTTTTGTGCCCACGCATGGAACTGGAAGGCCATTCCTGGACAAAGACAAAAGAGCTTCAGCTTAATAATGGTTTACTTTAAAATTTTTAAGTTCTGAAGGTCATGAGATTCTTTCAACTGGTTTTTTCCAACAGTTGAAAAATTGTTAAATAAATTGACCAATTCTTTGCTGAAGTCTTAAATTGTTTTTCCTTGATAATTTGTAAATAGGTTTATATATTTGCAAGTAGGCTGGTATTGATAATGTTTTATGTTAATTTATGCTGTGGTGATAAGTTACATGAAACATTTGTGGGGGATGCCTCGCCGTCTTGCCATCTAATCCCATGAGTGCAGGTCTGGCACTTGCAGCAGAGAACGTTAGAGTCGCGTCTCATCATAATACAGGCCATAGCGTATCTTCTGTCCTGTGCGGGTCTGAGGAATGCGACTTTATCATGTAGGTAATGAGAAGCCCTCACACAGGTTAAGGAAGGTCGTCACCGGCGAAAATGGGGGCTTCGAACTCATATCTCTACTTGTATCACTTAACTTACCTGGACTGGGAAGTACATAATCGTTCAGCAAATATTAATGAGTGTCCCTAACACGTCATGCCCAGAGGAGTTTCACAGGGAAGGGAAATGCAGGGGGTGAGCCTACAAAGCTTAGAAAAAGCTGGATCCTGGGTCAACCCACCCAAACCCCAGCACCTTCCTCCACTCACACCTCCTCTTACTCATGTGTTCCGTGATGTTATTAGTGGTACCTAAGAAACCTAGGAAGCCTCAGTTATACCTTTATACCCAACCAGTTATCAAATCCAGCTTGCTTTACCTTTTTTGGGTATAAAATTTTGTTATTATGAATTGCTTACATTTTAAGTGTCCGTGTATTGAGGGTTGGCATGTGCATGCATCTGTCATCCAGTCCCAGAAATGCTCTTACTGCCCAAGTGATCCCCTTGTAGTTCACGGCAACCACTTTGTTTCAGATGAAGCAATAACTGTTCTCATTCATTTTATCAGTGTGTGTTTATTAATATCACAGGTATTGGGATAGAAACTGATTTAGTCGTGAGCACCTCTAGAGTCCTTACCTTCAGGGATATTGCAGCTGGGTAAGGATACTGATGAATGAATGGGAACTTTTCAAACAACTTGAGAAGAAAATAAATTTTGAGTGCAGGGTGTTGTCCTGCCACCTTGGTCCACCCTTGTCGGCGAATGAAATCTGATCCGAGGTTGGCGAGGGGGGTGATGAATCATGAAAGGAAGGGGCACGCCTATCCCAGGGTACTCAGAATCAAGAAGCAAGAGAATGGGGGGTGTTGTGTGTCTAGAGACTGGAGAGAGAATAAGAACGGACACAAATGATCCCAGTGTCAAGTAAAAGGCCAGAGAGAGGCTGTTTCCCATTGTAGGTCAACGGGAAGTAGCCTTAGCTTTTTGAGGCAAGGAGTGATGCAAAATGACAGTTCTTCGTCATTTCCTATCTTTGAACTCCCTCTGAATCTTAGCTGAAACTCTTTATTTTAAGAACTAGTTCCTAATTAATACCACATAATTTTAGTGAATTACTCTTTTTGTCATCAGTATAGTGTCAGTTATGTACCATTTATTGAATATTTCTATATATTTTATCCTGGGACACACTCCATGCTTTCTGTTTGTGGGAATGGTCCCCAAAAGTAATGGTCTCCAGACACGGAGCCAAATCCTAGTACTTGGAACCTGTGAATGTTACTTTACATGGAGAAGACTTGGCAAGCTTTTAACTTAACTGATTGAGTTAGAAATTGTAGCAGGACCCCAGATTACCTGGCTGGGCCTGTCCTGTGGGGGGGCTCTGCCCTCAGCATCCCCCCCTACCACCCCCCTGGATGAGAATAAGTATACTAAGACATGATCTGCTTGGGGAGAAAAGGTGGCCAATCTCTCAAAGGAGAAGGACCAGGAACCTGTTCCTCAGTGGGCTGTTACTGGGTTTAATTTGCATAGGAATACAGGGTGTATACGTAAAGCTCATAAATCATTGTCAGGTAATAATGATCAAACAATAGATAACATTCACAGAACTCTGAGGGCTTATTCTGAGTCAGGGTCACTAAAGGGCCTGTAAAACTTTGGGGAACAAACTCATTTCATGCTTGGACCCTCATCATTTAAATTGAGGGTATGAGCAAAGTAGGCCCTGTGAATCCTATTAACGGACTTTATGCATTCTTTCTTATGCCTGGTGGCCCTAGGGAACCCGCCCTTTCCAGAACCGCACCCACCTCCGCCATTGTTTCAGGCTTAAGTCAGGCAGGGGAAGTAAGGCAGCCAAGAGATTAGGAGACTTCTGGCAGACAGAATGAGGACTCGGGCTATGTCAAAGCCGAAGGGCAAGGATCCATCACCTCCTTTTTCTGTAGCCCCTCAAGTCCTACCCTGAGGGCCCCTTTGCAACCGTGCCTGTCTTTGGTTGTCCCTCCTTTGAGGAATCTTACCTGTCATTGGCTAACCAGTCATCCGCCCAGGACCAAGCAGGGTGAAGTGAAAAAGAGCAGAGGCAGTATCCCTACAAGGAAGATAAGCTTTGTCTCCTAAGTGGCTTATGGTCCCGAGGTCTTTTTTCTCAACCTTAGCCATGGTGGGGGGGGGGAGTGGGTTACAGCTTCTGAAACCAGTCAGGGCAGTTCCCAACATGGGCCGTAAATGCCTTCACTAGTGTCCTTTCACGTGATGGGCATAAGGAGATCCCAGGTAGGCAGAAGGGGAGAAGACACATAGAAAACAGGAGGCAGCATGGTGATGGACAGACGACTGGAGTAACCTGCCGCAGGGTAATGGGTACCAGCAGCCAGTGGGACTCAGAGGAGGCAAGGAATGGATTTCCCCCGAGGACCTCTGTTGGGAGCCTGACTCTTCTGACCCCTGACTTTTAGCCTAGTGATGCTGATTTCAAACTTCCACTCTCCACAGCCATGATGGGATACATTTCTGTTGTTTTAAGCCACCAAGTTTGTGGTGATTTGTTCCAGCAGCCTTTGGAAGCAGCCAGGTGCACTCGTTAGAACACAGTTATGCACTCCCCATGTTCATGGATGCAGGTGCTTGGTCTACCACTCCTCTGAAATAATCCTGTTCACTATGAAGGTCAAGCTCCAAAGCAACTAAGAAGTAATCATTCTTATACAAGCCAATGTGTCCCAAGTGATTAGAATAGTTTTTCACAGATAGTAAGTGCTCAGTAAATACTTGTGGGGTGAATTCTATCACGTATCATAGTAGTTGAGTAACATGAGAGATAATTGACATAATTTTGTGTAAGTTTAAGGTATGCAGCATGTTAATTGAGTACACTGAGGTGTGCAGCACGATTGCCATTCTTGGCCTTAACTGACACCTGCATCATGTCACATAATTACAGTTGTTTTGTTATGGCGAGAATGTTTAAGAGCTGCTCTTAGCGATTTGAAGTCTATAATGTGGCATCAGTGACTGTGCTCGCTGTGCTGTGCATTCGATCTCTGGAACTTGACCTCCTGGTTGTCAGGTCGTGCCTTTCAGCCTGTATTATTGTAACTAGTCCATGACTCCGTCTTCCTGTCTCCATTTCTGTCGCCGCAGCCTTGGTTCAGGCTGAGAGCCGGTTCCATCTGACATCATAGTAGTCAGTCTGTCTTTCTCCTCTAATGCGTTTTCTCTTTCTCTAAAGTGAACACTAAGGAAGTGTTCACTTTAGCTAAGACTGGTCATGTGCCCTTGGCTGCTAAAGCTCTGCACTGTCGCAGATTGTTCGGATGAGCCTGTGGTCTGCTGGTGCCAGGGCAGGGATGGCAGGCTCACCCTCCTCTTGGCCAGCCACTAGCAAAGCCTGTCGGGTCCAGCCTCCCCACACCTTTCCTCACCTGTTGCCTCAGGCCTGTCTCCTTCTTGTCTTTATTCAGTTGCCTTCTGCCAGGTGCCTGCCTCATTCTTTCCATCTGCTGTTTGCTGGAGCCCAAAGCTGCTCCATGGACAGCTGACCAGTGCGCCCTTGGCTGACTGACAGGGGCCAGTCCCTGGGAGGGGCAGCGAAGGGAGGGTGACGGGGCACTGGAGCCAGAGCCGCCAGCTTTAGTCAGTCCCGAGTCCCTCTTCCTCGTAAAGCTGCGAACCAATAACTCTCATCATCGTTTTAGCTGGATTGAGAGGGGTTTTCTGGAATTTGCCACGATAGGCCTACTATAGGTTTACTGCACCTCCCTGCCCCCCAACCCCGACAGAACAAGTGGGGGGCATACAAATAGGAAATGGCTTTAACATTCCACTCTTAACTGGGAGATTTGAAGCCTTTTTATATAAACAATAAGATTCCTCTCACCCTCACGGCAGGTGCATTCTGTGCCTGTTGTGAACCTGTCCCGGAAATTAGGAAATTAGCCTGCTCGTGGTCTCTGACCTTCCCGCACCTCTGCCCTCCCAGAGGCTGTCTTGCAGGGGGGTCAGGGAGCGCCCTCTTTGTCCTTCTTCTGCCCGAATTTAACCTCTGCTGGATTACGTGGGTCTGACCACCCATACAGATGAGGCGGACTTGGACCTCCGCTTGCAGGTCCGCAGGCTGCCGAGAGCGCCTGTGTCCCAGCACTTTGCCACGTGCTTTGTGCCTGTGGGCAGATCCTGTCACGAGGAAACAGCTCCACCATCGGCTGACAGTAAGTTTCCCGTTCGCCTTTCCGCTGTGTCTGCCGGTCGGGAGTTGAGAAGAACATCACCTCACCTGTTCGCATTTTGTTTTTGATGCTCCAGGTCAGGATGGCTGACTGGTTGGCTTCCCACATGGTGCCCTACGTCCACATCACACCTTAAAGAAGCTGAAGAGAAAATGTTAAAATGTAAGGTTTTCTTCTTTTAAGTTAACTGAGCTGTTTGCTAAAATAGGTCCAGTATTCACATTGTCCTGAAGCCGAAGATAAGATTTTGTGGTGTGTTAGTTGTTGGCAGAAGAACTTTTTTCCCCTCCACGCCATCGGCAAGTGGGGGGGCGGGGGCTCTCACGTGTTTCCATCTTGGGTGTCTGTTGGGCTCTGAAATGAGTAAGGACCCTAAGGAGCTTCCTTTTTAGATAGGTAAGAGCTGTCATTTACCATATTAGAAATTAAAACCGAATAATTTAAAAATGCTAATTTAGCCCTGGCCAGGTGGCTCAGTTGGTCAGAGCGTCAGCCCATACACCAAATAGTCATGGGTTCGATGCCCGGTCAGGGCACGCACGGGAGGCAGCCGCCCTCTTTTCCTCTCACACCCGTGGTCCCTCCGCCCCACCCCTCACCTCTCTCTCTCTCAAATCAGTAAACTTGTCCTCAGGTGAGGATTAGAAAATCTGCATGTAAACTTATTAATTTATTTTAAAATAATACAATAAACCCATTATAGGTTAAAGTAACATTTTCTAAAATCAACTACTTTCCAGCCAGAAATGTAGTAAGGAGTTTACATGTTTACAGACATCTTTATTGTTGGCTTAATGATAATACAAGGCGTCTGGATTCTCCCATGTGCTTCTGCACATAGACCGCTTTCACATCTTTTGTGGTCTCTGGAAAACTCTGCTATATGCCCATCAAAGAATAAGAGTGAAAAGGCAAATAAAGTCTTAGTATTGTTATGAAAATAGTTTTGACCTCATACGTCTCCCAAAGGGTCTCAGAGGGTCCCCAGAGGCCCCCAGACTACACTTGAGAACAGGCCGTAAGCCCTCCAGAGCAGGCGGCCTGTGTGGTAGTACGAATACTGGACCGGGCCCGGCGGCCTGGTGCAGGCCCAGATCTGCGGTTGGGTATCACGGGATGTGGGGTAACTCACTGCTCGGCCTCCTGATTTTCACCTGTGCAACAGGGACAGGATGGTCCTTGCCATTGCTTCCGGTTCTGGTGTTCTGGGATCCTCCAGTTCTACGTGTGCAATGCTGTGGAAACCTGTTCATTTGTGTCTTAAGGACACTGAAATTCGCCCACACTTGCAGTGTCTGGGTGTGCCCAGGGGTCCGTGGGTACACTTTGAAGCAATAGTGTTTGTGGTGCTGCAGTTCTGTTCTCTGATTCGATTCAGAGTCGTGGATAAAGCAGTGCAGTTCACATACGTGATATTGTGCGTTATATGCCAGTGTTTGTGTATGTTTTTCACCCTCTCTCCCCAAATGCATTTTCTCGTTTGTGCCTTTGAATGATTCGGGAGTAAGAAGCAACAGGCAGTCACCTTACATGGGTTTTTAGCATAAAAGTAAATTTCTACTTTGTGTGCTTGGGTGATCTTGTTCTCTACAAATCCAGGAAAGTTGTCCTCATGGTTTACTGAAATGAAAACTTCTTACAAGCTGCTGAGCTCACGTGGCAGGGCCATGCCCCACCCCCCATGCCCCATGCCTTCGGCCTAAATCCAACTCTGTGTTCATGGCCTACGTTCCACCCAGGCGGAGCAGCTGGCATTCATGGTGGCTGACAACTTGCATTGGTCGAGGTGCCGAAAGGGTATGAGCACGATGTGAAGTCGGCAGCACGATGAGACGTGCTGCTGACAGACGGGGCGGGGAGACGTGGTCGTCCCAGGCATCAGTTTCCTGCTTCTGCGGCTGCGTGTGTCTCTGTTTACATGTGCTGTGTCCTGTTGACTAGTGCTGTCACGTGTGTCCCCAATTTGACCCAGTGACACACTAAACACAGTGTTCTTGAGCTCCCTGGTAATTTTTTTTCCTCATTGAAGGTTCAAAAACAAAACAAAAATTGTTGTCAGGAGATAAGAAAGGGTACTAGATGCTCAGTTCATGCATTTAACAAGCAGGAGTGAGATGCAAACGGGAGTGAGAATCAGCCCCTGGTCCCTGTCAGACGTTAAAGCAAGTGACTGATGCAGTGGGGCGACCTCTCCAGTGGGGGTCACAGGTGGTGTTTGTGGGAACGTGCAGACACCTGCATTCCCAATGCTCACGTGGTTTGCTTTGGCACTGTCATGCTGCGTCATCTCCTTTTTTGAGCTGGTGGCATTTCCTTCCTCTTGGGGGCAATGGCTCTGCCAATACTCTGAATGAATAGTGCGTCTCCTCTGTATTGCCACTGTGTTGGATACACATCCTGAGATGGTTTCTTTAATTAGGGCAGAAACTCCCGGTCCTGCTCCAGGGTTTTTCTGCTGCAGATGAGTGTAACAAACAAGGGGTGCCTCTAAAGCTGTAGCTGTTCAGTTGATGATATAAATGAATTTCAACTTCGTTCCATCTTTAGTCTCTTTAGTCTATTTAGTCTGTTTAGATCTCTGGGGGAGATCTAAAGCGTTTACTCCTACAGCACTGAAGGCAAGTAAGAGTCTGTATCTACAAAATGATGATTTGTACTTTCTAGAGAGACTGTTGTACTTGAACGCATACTGTCGCACCTGAGGCTGAAGGATTTCTACCATAACTTGTCACCTTTTTTCTAGTAACCTCTGAAATGACTTAAGATTTCAGTCATGTGTTTAATACAGCTAGTGTTAATCCTTCCCTAAATTTATGATGTACTTTTTAGGGGCAAAATGTTTCTTTTGAGTCTGAATTTTAGTCTTCACTGCCTAATCTTCAAATGCTTAATCTTCAAGTGTTAGACAAATTCAAGGTGGCTTTCTTTTGTTATTGTCTGCAAAGATAGAGACCTCCAGATAACGGACTCTCTCCAGCTCAGAGGTGTAGCGCTCTCATTGGACAGGTGTGGAGAGAAGTCTGGGGAGCTGGCACGACTCACTGGTGGGTCCTGCCCACGCGGATGTGAGCTTCGTCCGAGACGGATCGTCCCACTCAGATGTGAAACATGTCAGGGGTCGCTCGCTCCAGTGAAACGTGTCCTTTACTTCGGGATGACACAGTAAAGGCTAAGATCATAGGAATGGGCCCCAGGTGATTTCTAGATTATTGATTTCTGATTGCTCAGAAAATACTCCTCAGAGGTTAAGCAGCATTTCTCTTTTGTGTTTTTATTAGGTGTCCCCTGCGCGTACAAAAAGGAACCTGTTCGTATATCTAACGGAAATAAAATATGGACACTGAAGCTTTCTCACGATGTTTCAAATAAGACTCCACTGGTCCTCCTCCATGGTTTTGGAGGAGGTCTCGGACTCTGGGCACTGAATTTTGGAGACCTTTGCACCAATAGACCCGTCTATGCTTTTGACCTGTTGGGCTTCGGAAGAAGCAGCAGGCCCGTGTTTGACAGCGACGCGGAAGAGGCGGAGAACCAGTTTGTGGACTCCATTGAAGAGTGGCGCTGTGCCCTGGAACTGGACAAAATGATCCTGCTTGGACACAACCTCGGTGGCTTCCTGGCTGCTGCTTACTCCCTGAAGTACCCGTCAAGGTAAGTGACGGTGGCCACAGAGAGGCACCAAGTGCTAGTCTTCACTTTCCGTCTCTGGTGGTTGCTGGCAGCTGAGCCTTACCAGGCAGGTCCTGTGAGCAGACCTCTAGACCGAAATAGTCACAGCTGCTGGCCGGCTTAGTAGCTGAAGTAGTGACATCGGATTTTCCTGTTACATGTATTGTGCATTTATAGAAGGCTTGAGAAGGGACTTTCTGCTTGTTAAACTTAGAATGTGCGCAGCTGAAGCCACAGACAAAAATTGTCGGGGTGTTCCTTATTGTCATCAGACCTACAGACTCAGCAGGTTTTTCTTGGTTTTTTCCAGGTTAGTCTGTGATGGGAAGCGGAACATTAGAAATGAGAAGACCTGGTGCTGTCTTTTGGCTGAGAGCAAACTCACTTAGCTTCCAAGCCTTAGTTTCCTCCAAACCACTAGAAACATACCTGCTTAGCGTGTGTTACAGGGGTTTTGATCATTCCATGCCCTAGCCTTTATTGATACAGAATTATTTTTACAGTCATTGGATTAATGAATTTCTGCTTCAGAATCCTTATAGTATCTTCTCCTTTCTTACCTGATTTTCTTATGCTATTTTCTATTATTTAATATTACTTCTTTGATAGGAGGTTGCATTAGAGTGCTACAAAAAATAGAAGAAAAACTCATTTTTATTTGTTCATCTCTTGGAAAGAAACAAAAAAAGGATCAGCATTTTCATGTCGCCAGTGTGTTCTTCCATCGGACTAATTTTTAAATCCAGAATTGCAACCAGCTGTGACATTCTGATGGCTGATGGTCATTTTTCAGAGTGCATCTGTGCACCTGCGAGGCGGCCTGTCGCGTAACCCCAGGTGTGCGCTGACCCAGAACTTGCCACCTGGAGCCCTGTGTGCCTGACGTTGTCTTCCTCCGCAGCAGAGCGCTTTCTCCCCCAGAGGCTTTGTCACAGCTTCAGCACTCACACCTGCCTGTTGTGAAGAGTCCGTAGTTCGTGTGTGCCGGACAGTAATGGTTTTGTCAACAGACAGCCCTGTTCTTTCAGAAGAAATCCAGATTTTCTTCTGGGGGCTGTTTGGGATTACTGCTTTAACTGTGTCCCATTCTCGGTGACAGACTTTTGTCACCAAGAGTGTTTGTGGCAAAAGTAAGAGAAGGAGGCGGATCCTTTTCTGATACGAGACAACAGGGCTGTCTCAGGGGTTGGGCTGCCTTTGCTCCATAACAGATGTTCACTCCGTCTTGGGGTGTCCGTCCCTTAGAGGTGGGACGTGGGTCTCCCCAAGTCTCAGGATCCTGGCCCTCATGGCTGCCTGCTAGTTAGGTTAGTGGGGAGATTTTCACTTGTAGTTGTGAAATGTTTAAAGAAGTAAGAGGTTTCATTGATTCCGAAGGGAATGAGCACTTTAAAATCACCTATAAAAGACAATAGCAATATATTTTGAACAACATGGTTGGCAGAACAAGTGTCTAAACCAAAGCCAGTGGTCCCTGCCTTGGATTGACTCCGTTTATAGGAAATGATCTTTGAATGTTTGTGCCTGTTACCAGAAATGAAACTAAGTGCTAAAACTCAAGTGTCAGGACCAAGAACCACCAAATACTAGCTTAGCAACAAATGCACATGAGAATGCTGGAAATAATTAGCATGTTTAAATTGGTCAGTTGTTACCAATACTGAGTGGGACTCTACAAGTAAGATGTTGGTTGGATAGTCAAGCCTGTGTTCCTAACTACAAGTTAATTCCAAAACAGTGAGGTTCTGTGGATTTTCAGATATCCCAAGTCATGCATGAGGTTCGGGGGAACGCTGTGCTTGGCACATTTGGGGGGCCCCGTGTTAAATGAGTGAAACGAGGAGGCCACCAGGTGACGCGGCTCTGACGCCTCGGCCTGCCTGAGAGCACTGGAGTTGAGGCCTGTGACTGCCTCAGGGCCGTGAAGTCGGAACCTGAGGACCGCCGATCACACACAGCCACCTGGTGCAAATCGGTTTTGCTTAGATAAACTCTTTTACATGTCAAGTAAGCAAGTATGGAACTATCTACTCTAAGTGTCTCTTAGCCAACATTCGGGTATTTGTTACAAACTAAAGAAAAGGACACTAAGAAACATGTATTAACTTAGAAGGTGTTTAGCAAAGAGATGCACCCAGGGTACAGCAGACTAGGTTACAGCGGGGCTGCACTTCTCCACTGAAAGGTTCTCAGATCACCGGCACTTCGCCCCTGCCTGGCTCTGTCCTCTCACTCTGCGGTGCTGGGCTGCGCCCCTCTTCTGTGCCTTCATTGAGGAGAAGGGCTGTTCTCCTTGATCTGAAGTTGGTGGTACAGTATTGGTGGTACAGTATTGGGTCTGCTGTTCTCTGGACCTGCGCCTCTCCCTGACCTCCCCACCCCTCGCCAGTGGCTGGGAGCCCATGGGAAATACCCGGGTCTGACTCCTCGTTTGTGTACTGGCTAGAGATCATTCTGGTTCTTTTTTGTTCCTTTCCTTCTTCCATAAGTAGGTTCTGCAGACTCCCTTGTACATTTTGGTTCTGCATCTGAATGTTCTTGTTATGTCATATCTGGTTGGTGGCTGAACTTAAAACTTGCAGAAGCAGGCCATACACCCTCATTAGCACTTAGACTCAGCGGTGCCAGCGCATCAGAGCTCACATGTGTCCACCGCGGGGCCCTTAGCGTCACAGTCTGCTCACCCTCCTCCAGCTCGGGGCCTTCTCCGACCACTGTCCTGGAAAAGAATGCCTCGTGTTTTGAAACCAATGGGCTGTGCCCTTGTTCCTGCTCTGCCAGTTCCTTGTTTTTCCTGTTTGACCCAGTCTGATTCTTGACAAAGATGTCTGTCTGGTCAGCTGACTCACATGCAGTGCCTGGGCAGACCCACTCCCTGCCCCTCGGTGTAGACTAGCAATCCCACCATGCTCTCAGCTGTGGGATGTTAGAGGGGAGGCCGGGATTACTATACTATAATTCAGATTTACGGTAAAACCTGATTAACTCCTATCACTTGAGATCAGCTTTTCATTAGAGAAGGCGGTGAGAAGGTGGCCCGGGAACTCGGTCTGCTGCAAGGTCACAATAACCTGTGAGGCCAAGCGTGTGCCCAGGCTGCCGTCCCGTCCAAGGAAGGAGAGTCAGTCGCTCACCACTCCCACGCTTCCAGCTGTTGTCTTCATACCCACACCCCCCCCAAGAATCAACTCTTCTCTGGTGGTCTTCCTGCTTTTGCTACTGTAACTATATAACATGGACTTGCTATTTATTATTTGAGAGCTTTGTACAGTCTGTCTCATTTAAAAACTTCACAAGCAAAAATAAGGAACAGTTTAGACATTGTTGCAGAACTGTTAAAAAATAGCTCTCAGACCTTTTGACTCTGACCCTCAGTAAGGATTGTGTGTGCGTGTGCCTGAAACAAAGCTCTGTGGAATGTTACACCACTTGTTAGGTATCTTTATGTTCCACGTTATATAATTGTGTTAAAAAGCAGCCCGACTGTCTGGACTGTCTGAGTGGGTTTTCCTACCCGTTCATAATGACCTGCAGGATTAGTATAAGAAATGACAGTGTTCTCGTGTCTGGGGGCCAGGAAAATCCAGACTGGACTAACTCCTGTGCTGTCTGTGTTGTTACACTTTATGAAGTTCCCGTATTTATTCTTACGGACAAGGACCGGAAGGAAGTGTGGAATGAGTGCTCCTGATGTTTACTGATCATCCGTCACGTGCTAATCGCCATTGTAGGCTGATGGCACAAGAGTGAACAATTAAGGGACTACTTCAGTCTCTTTTAAAAAAAGGTCATGTACTCTAGTACATGGTGCAAAGTACATACATCCAGTGTATGTACTTTGCATAATTTCTTAAGCTGGCATTTTTACCTAGGGATGATAGTTCGCAGATGCGTATCAAATAAGGCAAGCCAAACCCAGGGCAAAAACAAAATATCACTTAACTAGACTTTCCCTCCCTCAGGATTTCCTTTTTCTCCCCCTTCTTGGGTTTGCAGGTCAGTGAGAGCCTAGAGCAGACTGGTCAAGGTCCCGTAAGAAATTTATAGTGAAAATGCAGTCATCTTTTAGGGAAGAGTATGTTTTAGTAGAGTTAATTTTTCTCTTTAAGAGGTAAGTTAGCAGTAAATAATACTACTTCCTAACATGAGTCTTCGCGGTTTTCAACCAGGTGGCTGTTCCATAGATTCTACTCACGCCTCTGCCATGCCCCCGCCACCCCCTTCCGCAGGTCTTCGCGTGGGCTGTGTAAGAGGGACTCAGGAGAAAGTCCAAATGTCGGAGACAGTCTCTGCCATGCATTCAAACAAAACAAACTTACTTCCATTCTCCTTCTGTGGACTGTTAGAAAATAATAGTCTCATAAGACTTTGAGCGAAGGCGCTCCAAGTCTGTGGGAATCTCACACGTCACGCGTTTCCACCCAGTTTCGTAGTGACAGCCCACGACTCTGGATGCTCTGAGATCTAGAGGATAGTGTCAGGGCTGGCCTAGAGTTAGTCGTTAAGAGTTGTGCTTTGCCTTCACTGACATCTTCCTTTTATGTTGCTTAGCCTTCCATGAGGAGAGAGAGCCTTCTGCCCTGTGGCTTGTTGGCACCTGTTAGTGAGCTGGAGTCAGGAGATGTGGGTTTCTGTCTCAGTTCTGCAGGAACTAGCTTTGCGTCCAGGAGCCAGTCGAGGTGCGTGTCTCGGCTTCCTCCTCGTCAGTGAGACGAGAGGCTGGCTGGCTTCTCTGAGGGCGCCGGGGCCTCCGTGCCCTGGGTCTGTGCTCTGGGGCTCCCTGTTGGAGAAAGTGCAGTGGAAATGAAGACTCATTACTAAGTCATCTGTGCTGGCACGACAGTTAAACATTTTATGTGGAATAATTGCTGTCTGTACCCATGTTCTGGTTTCTCCATTTTTCTGCTTCGGTTGTGACTTAGGAAAGGGACTTCGGAATCACGGACAGTCCATTGGGGAGTTTCTCTGACATTTATTGGCTGCGTTAACAGTTTACAGTTGACGGTCGTCTTGTGTCTGGGGGACCCTGGTGCTCACGTGCTCGGAGCTGCTTGATATAAATGCCCTGAGGCGGCCACGGGCAGGGAGGTGCTGCAGGCGGTGCCGGTCACGTTCCTGTTGGCCACGCCGCGGTCCGGGACTGGGGGTGTCTTTTCAGCCTGTATTGTTGCTTTATCCTTCTGTTTGTGAAAAGATCATTTAAAGTTCTTTCGAACCCACTTAAAGTCCTGACGCCTTTTCAATTGTTAGAGGGACTGGTTCATAGGGGATAACTCTGGTTGGTGTCTGAAGGTAGTCATCAGTGGGGTACTAATCTTTAGTCTTGAAATAGGTGGAGTCAGTGGGTTTTTTTGAGTGGTCACCTGCCCAGAAGGCAGCTTAACAGCAGCAGATGCTGTTTCTCAAAGATAGTCCATAATCACCATAGACACTTAGATATTCACCACTCAGATCCTACCAGATCTCAGACGTTTCCCTGTAATTAGAACATGATGTGACCTGTTCCGCCACTAGTCTTTCTTCCATGTGAGGGTTTTAGGAAGTGGTTCACTCTGTCTTCGTGAGTCGTGTCAGTTCTCCACAGTCCTGGGGTGGATTTGCCAGATGAACTTGAACCGGCCCTCTCTCCAACAGGGTCAGTCATCTCATTTTAGTGGAGCCTTGGGGTTTCCCTGAGCGGCCAGACCTTGCGGATCAAGACAGACCGATTCCAGTGTGGATCCGAGCCTTGGGAGCAGCGCTGACCCCCTTCAACCCCCTGGCCGGCCTCAGGATCGCAGGGCCCTTCGGTGAGTGCCGAGATGTCCACCGAGGAGAGCAGAGTGTCTGCGGATTAGCAGGGGAGGAGTGTTTGCTGATCGCCACTGTTGGTTACAAACAAAAAACTGAACCTTGTGTTTTCTTCTCCTCGAAAAAGTACCAGTCTGTGCACAGAGATGAATGACGCCAGACCCTTCTTCTCAACGAGGAGGGGTCTTCACGGAGTTGACCTTACAGTCATTCACAAAGCCTCGCAGGTGGGAAGTGCTGAGGCTGAGGGAGTCCACCCAGGGCCTGGGAGAAGCGCCACGGGGACCTGTTGGGGAGCCGTGAGAGCATCTGCGGGGCGGCGGTGCCCGGCTGCAGGTCGCAGAGCCTCACTCGATGGGCCGTGGTGGTCACAGGCACCATCACGCTCATGGATTCCTTTCTCGTCCCATAATGTCAGGGTGTTAAGAAGATAAAGCCATTCCTTTCCGCAGAGATTTTGGGGGACTCCGGTTTGTGTTTCTGGTCCTATTCGAGGTACCAGTGTTTAGTCTCTATGACTTAGGTTCATTTGCGTCTCCGCTCCTCCGTTTCGGTCTCCAAGCCAAGGGAGCGTCCTTCCCCGTTGTCTCAGCGGGTGAGGTCTGGGCCTCCATCTTGCCCTCTCGTAGCTGGTATCAGTTGAGAGTGCTTTTAGCCACAGCAGTTTAAACCAGAAGACTTCTTTATTTCCTTACCAGGCAGTCTGCAGGCAGGTGGTTTGGGCACTCGTTCCAGCTGCTAGCTCATTGATGTTGGGGCATGGCCTGCAGCTGTGATGTCCCTACACTTTCCTCAAGGGCATGTGACAGCTGTGCCGGCTGCAGTGGCACCTCACAGAGCCGCGCTCTGAGCACGAAGAAAGGGAAGCGCAGGAAGCGCTTTCCTCCACAGTGCTCCTGTCAGGGCAGAAAGTCTCTCTTGGAAGGTCCCAGTGGACCTCCCCTGTGTCTCTGCCTGCCTCTAGTTCTTTCACCCAGCAAAAAAATCCCCAAATTTCTATGACCAATCCATCATGATTTACTCCCAGCCCGGAGGGAGGGGCCTGCTTTCCTGGGCACATTGCTGCCTAATTGACACAGGAGTTGGGCTCTGTGAACAAGGAAAGAGGAGAGGCTCGGGGTGGGCGAGGGTGTGGATAAGGGCAGCGTGGGTGGCTGTGGGCTCTGCTCGCCCCTGCCCAGGCCAGGCCCCTGCTTGCCCTGCCTGGGGAGTGGGGAGAGCAGCAGGACTGCGGGTGCAGTCCAGAGAGGGCACAGAGTTGACCTAGGACCACCCTGCGCCCCATGGTGCTCTCAGAGAGCCTTTTCCTCCCGCCCGAACCTTCTCGCCCCTCCAGCAGACCCTGGTCCTCCTCTGAAGCATTAGGAGTCTGTGCAGCCAGTGGACTCGACTCCATCACAGTGACTTGAGTAGCCATTATGGGTTAGGAGACGATGGTGGGGGAAGGGTGCCTCCCCTCACTCTCGCACGTGGTGGCGGGGACGAGTAATGTGGCTGTCAGCCGATCATAAAATTCTCATGGGGGTGTCTAATTCCTTCAGAAATAGAAAGGAGGGCACCAAAGGAGTGAGAGCCTGTTAGAGCAATAGGCAGTGACAGCAGAACGAGGGACTGGCTGGTCCCTGGGGCCCGGGACAGGAGAGCAGCGCCCGGGTGATGGCCCTGCCATTCCCTCTCTTTCCTCTAGGGGCCTCGCTCCTGCTCTCCCCGCTGGCCGCCGGAGCCGCTGGGGCCACTGGGACGGCCTCGGCAGGGGCGTTGCCAGTGCCCCAAGCAGAAACTGAATTAATATTTTCACAAATATAGGTAGTGTGGGAGAAATATGAGTTAGAAAGTTAATTGTATATGTATGCTGCTCTATTCACTTGCCATGTTTAATAGAATGTATTTTTCTATGAAAACAAGTCTTCGAGAACTACCGCGTGGTGTTGAACTAAAGCACATCCCCAAGTCAGCGTGAGCCTCTCCAAGCTCCCCTCAGGAGCTCAAGGAGAGGGGCTCTAGGACACCTGCCTTTTCCCACCTAAAATGTGTTTGAACGCACGCGTGTGCACCGTGGCTCCCACTGTACACACAGACACTGGAGCCTCCCGTGTAGTCAGTCTGGCAGCCAGCTACAGTGTGAACGTACAGACCATTCAAAACACTCTTTCCCGTTGAACAGGTTTGAGTCTGGTACAGCGTTTGAGGCCCGACTTCAAGCGGAAGTACGCTTCGATGTTTGAGGATGACACTGTGACCGAGTACATCTACCACTGCAACGTGCAGTCCCCCAGGTGAGGGCCGCCGTGCTCCGCCTGCCGTTCCAGGCGTTTGGTGACTACACCGCTCCCACTAGGCAGCTCTAATGTCGACCGTGCATGAGGCGTGGGGGGGGATTCTGCCCGTATTTTGTCAGTGTTTAGGAGAGAGAGAGAGCATAGTAGCCAGAAGGAGCAAGAGGGCCAAACAATATTGTATTTTTTTTAAATATGACTTAAAAAATATGGACACTGGGTACAAGGAACCGGTGGAGAGAAAGCCTGAAGCTGGTGGGGAGCCAGGCGGGGACAGAAGGCCAGGAGCCTGGAGTGGCCAGGGAGCACGAGGGCGAACGCTCCAGCGTGGGCCTCCTGTGCACCAGCATCCTCTGCGAGCCGTCACGGATGTGGTTCTTGAGCCCCGTTCGAAGAGTCTGACTTCGCAGGTCTGGCTGCATCTGTGACAAATGCCTCAGGTGATTTAGCGTGCGTGGGCCGTGGCCACACGGGACCACGCGGTACCTTGTCTTCTCTAAGACCGAGACTCAGGTGAGAGGCCCAGAGGCCCCGTGCAGAGACAGCCCCCTCCCCCCAGCAGAGAATATGGGCACCTGTGCTGGTGAAGCGCGCGGCCACGGCAGCCGTTCAGCTGTGGCTGTAGCCTCAGTCCTTTTAATAAAGGAGGGTAGTGGCGGGCTGGGGTCCGCACGGGGGTGTATGGTCCGGCTGGTCAGGTCTGCACTCTTCAGTGACCTGTCCCCGCCAGCACGTGTTCTCCTGCGTGGTCTTAGAGGGACAGCGTCACTCACTCCCAGTTCGTGGTTACTGGTGCCTCTGCAGCCCTTCCTGTGGCAGAACGGGAATTCTTCGTAACGGTGGTTCAGAAGGATGCCTTGTACTGTAGGTGAAGCAGAAGTGACAGCAAAATGGATGTATCCCGGGGGTTGGCCAAGTGTTGCGACAGTCACTCAGTCAGGCGTGACTGTGAGTGAAGACACAGGAAAGGCTCAAGAAAACAAAGTGTCATAGTCACAGGTCCTAGAGGGTGGTCCCTGAAAGCCAGGGGGCCGCAGAAGAAGCACCAGGTTTTGGTCAGGGGCACGAGGCAGGAGCCTGGACTGCAGGTCTCTCTGGGAAAGGCCGTGCAGGGCAGGGCCCGCAGCGCAGGCTTGGCTAGTGGAAAAATCTCCGTGGGCTCAGAGACACACCCAGGTGGTCCCCAGTTGCCTGGCACCAGTCCCGGAGGACTGAGGCAGAGGAATGTTGCCCCCTGGAGTGGTGGGCCAGTGGAAGGCACCAGGCACCGTGCTGGCTCATTTGCATATGAAAGGCACATTCCCTCCAGCCCCTTGCCCTCTTCCTCCAGCCAGAAAGGGTTTAAGCTGTGAAATGTCAAAATGTGAAGACAATTAAAGATAAAAACAGTACACAGAGAGCACTTAATTTGAATCCTTCTCACCTTGGTACAGGCTTTGCCACTGCACGTGAGAAGCTGGCGCCTTGAACCTGTGGAAAAGCTCTGTTCCACGTTCGAAATAAGTCAGAGCGGACACAGTTTCACTGCCCTGTGGGAAATGTGGTCATTTAATGATAGGGAGTGAGGGCTGCGTGTTTTGATTAAGAAGATGATGACTTTTTAAAAAATTAACTAGAGTTTGAGCATCCTTGTTCGGCTAACAAAGCATGTCTCTCCCATGAGATGTACACAGTGCGTGTCTCCTCTGGCGTTCGTTCCAGTCTGTGGTGAACCCTTTTCTGCTTAAGCTCAGGTTTTTCTTCAGTGGGGCAGCAGCTTTGTAAGTCTGTTTTGACGGAGGTGGGCGCGTGATGCGCGTTCTTCCCCAGGAGTCATCCGTGTGCTTTTCTCCTTTTCCCCAAAGTGGCGAGACGGCGTTCAAAAACATGACTATTCCTTACGGGTGGGCCAAGAGGCCCATGCTGCAGCGGATCGGCAAGATGGACCCCGACATTCCGGTCTCGGTGATCTTCGGGGCCCGCTCCTGCATAGACGGCAACTCCGGCAGCAGCATCCAGTCCTTGCGGCCGCACTCGTACGTGAAGACCATAGTAAGTGCGCGGCTCACTTGGGTTTCGGCTGTAGGTGGGGTCTGTTCCGTGATGTTCGCCTTCGGTGGGGTTTCATGTCTGAGCTCTACACTGCGGCCTCGGTCGGAGACCTGGTGCTCCTGGTCGTGGGGGTCGGGTGGGACCCACACGGTCTTCCTGTCCAGACAGGGAATTGCCATCCTCAGGGACCTGGCCTGTCCCTAGAGCCACGGCGCTTCCGAGGTGGGAGAGGCTGGACGAGGAAAGGGCCCAGCAGCACCCCGGCCACCTCCTGCCCCCCAGGGTGGCACCTGCTCTCAGCTCGGCCTTCCTGCTGGATCTTTCCTTAGTGGCCCATGCTGCATGGTTTATTTTGTTGCATGATAAAATTTTAGTGAAGTTCGGTAGGTTTTTCTCTTTATTTTCAGAATCTCTATGTGATGGGAATGTCCATGGCGGGCCAAGTAGGTTTACAGTTGTAAGTACGTGAAACACACAGTTGATTCTTGTGCTATTATTTATTCATTGTTGTATTGTTTTCCATACGAACAACTGTAAACCTACTTTTGCCTCACCCTGTATTAAGCTAGTTGCCACAGAAAGTTTTGCTTCTTTTTTTTATGTCTTTCTCATATATAGCTGTTCTCACTTTCATTGCTAAGCGTCTTTGCTTACAAGTGTCGTTCTAGTGAACACTTCTACTCACTGCCCATCTGACCGCTTTCCTCCCCAGGCCATCCTCGGGGCAGGGCATTACGTGTACGCAGACCAGCCCGAAGAGTTCAACCACAAAGTGAAGGAGATCTGTGACAGCGTGGACTGAGCGCCCCGGCGGCAGCGTGGGGGGAGCCTGCTGACGGTCGGTTCCTCGGCAGCAGCTCGGTCCCCGTGGGGAGTGAGGGGCACCACAGAGCCAGGCGGTCTTCCGGGCTGTACATGTTTCCTCTCGGAGCTGCTGGAACACTCAGACAGTCAGTGCCTTCTACAGGAAAGCCTTTCCTTTCTCCTGCACAAGGTCAGGTGCACAAGAGTCTCCGAATCTCAGAGCTTTAATAAAAGTTGTTTGTCACTCTGCTGTACTGAAAAATGCTAATTTTTCAACTGAAATGTTTTCATTTCTATCTAACTTTGCTATGTCAGGTACTTTTTGTATTTCACTCTGTATTGCCTTATTTTAAAAACTGATTTCTGAATCTATATTTTATATATTGTAAAGGTGCACTTTATTTTCTGCTTACATTTATCACATCTAATAAGTGATGTAGTGCATCAAAATTCAATGTGTTTTTGTGCAAAAAAACTTGTCACCTTTCTAGAATACTTTACTTTTGAAATGGAGTGATGAGCACTTTGGTTTAAAAAAATAGGAATTAATCACTAGCATTAACTTTCCTGATTTTCCTCTGTTCTCTATTTAAATGCAAAGCTGTGGTCCGTGTGTTAAATGTGATCCGTTCTGACCCAGCAGCAGCGGCCTCGCCCCTGGGACTCTTTCACGTGTGACACAGGCCTGCACCTCCTGCCGGACACAGCGTGGCTGCTTCGTGGTCCAGGCACTGGAAGGCCTCACCCACGTCTGTCCTTTCCCCTCGCATCTGTGAGCCAGGGCACGGCCGCAGGAGCAGCCCCCCTCCCTGAGGGGAGAGGAGACTGTCACCTTCTAGGAAACCCAGGCACACGTCTTCATGAGCCTCAAACTTTCGTAGATGGGTGCTAAGGGCAGTATGTTTTTACCACTGACATGTAAAAGTAGGGGGTGCGGCTGGATCTCACGGCACCAGAGATGAACTAGCACCTAGGGTTTTTTTTTTAAGAGTTTTGTGTTGATTAAATAATTTATATGCTTCAAATTATATTAAAATTCTATAAAGTTGATTGAACTATTTAACAATAACTACCATCAAATGTAGTCCTTTCTTGCTGGTTTAAAACGAGAAAAGCCTCTTTGGAACTGTGAAGAAGTCCATGCGGCCACTGGCGGCTGAGAAGGCCCTCCGACCGAGAAGGCTGCAGGGGACTGTCTCAGGAAGGCGTTTCCAACTTCTGCTTTGCTGATGTTGCTCGTCCAGGGGAAAGGCGGTTATGTCAATAAAAACTGTAACTTAGAGCAAATAATGGTTTAGTGGTTTTCCTGTTGATTTTTCAGTGGTCGATCAGGGCATCTCTGGTGGTCAGGAGGAGTAGGGTGGCGCCGCTGTTGACTAACTGCCGAACGGGCCGAAGGTTCTGTTTTCAGCATTACGGCCACTGCAAGAGAGGAAGCAGCACCCGCAGGTCACACCAAAGCGCCCCAGGTAGTTTCCCGGTGAAGGCGTCTCACTTGTCAGATTAAGTAGTTTAGTGCAAAAGGTAACGTGAGAGCCAAGACATGCCAAGTTTCTCTGCCTTTGGAACAGAAACAGCCTTTACTTTTTAGTTAATATTTTAGATGGCGAAATTCAAACCTGTGTGTAGTACAGATAATCGGGTAATATTCTTGTTATCACAGAGCCTCGCCAGTCTCTTAGTCGCTCTTTGCTGGGCGAAGAACAGCTTTCTGTTGTCCAGCAGGGCACCTCTGCAGGGAACTCGGTCCTAGCCCTCGGGGGGGAGGGGCGCTTTCTAGGTTCACTTAGTACATGGAGTTTCTGGCCACAAATATGCCAAGTGATTCAGGAAAAAGATGTACCCAGATGTCCAGTGGAACTTATTTTCCTACTGGTTTTGCTTTATTTGAAAAACATCATGTCCTGGCTGATGTAGCTCAGTGGATTGAGTGCCAGCCTGTGAACCAAAGGATCACTGGTTTGATTCCCAGTCACAACACATGCCTGGTTGCAGGCCAGGTCCCAATAGGGGGCATGAGAGAGGCAACCACACATTGATGTTTCCCTGCTCTTTCTCTTCCGCTTTCTCCTTCCCTTTCCCTTTCCTAAAAATTAATGTATACAGTGTTTTTTTAAAGTGCCTTAAAAAAAAAAAAACATTGTCATAATTCTTTTTAAAAGTCACAATCCTGAAAATTCAGTGGGTGCTCAAGATCAAATCTAGTACAGTGTTTGTGCAAAATTAATGCACAATGTACTTTATTTTCGGACACAACAAGACAACTGCTGAATGGTTGCTTGAGTGTTTAGTGTGGCCCAGTCTGTATCCCAGTCAGACGGCCACGGACCCGGCAAGATGTCAGCAGAACTTGCTGGCTGATGCAGGAGGCCTGCTCAGGGCGCCCTGAGCACCACACGTCCCACAGTATGATCTCTGTTTTCTTCTAAAACTAATTTTTAAGAAAAGCTCATCGAGAATTGATGTCAGAATATTACCTAGAGAACACTTATGAAATGTCTTCATTTATATATATTTTATATGTGTTTACTTTTACATTTGAAAAGCAGGCTACATTCAATAAAATGAGAATTCTTTTTTTCTGCATAAAGGGTTTGGGAAAAACAAACCACTATCGCCTGAAGAATCCTGGAAAAGACCAGTGTGGGGGGTGGAGGGAGTAACCCCTCGATGCTGTAATACGCCATAAACAACACAAAGTTCAGAAGTTCAGTGTACATGAAGGGAGCACCGTACCGACAGAGAAAGACTTAAGAGATGGTGTTAGGACATACGTGGCTAACCATGCGGGAGAAAATAAAATCAGTCCATTTCTCACCTGTACGCAAGGATAAGTAGCAGCTGAATGGATCAGAGACCCAGTTATAAAAATGCAACTTTTTCCGAGTAACTAGAGGAAAGCAGGTGAATTCCTTTGTAATCTGAGAGGGGGGAAAACTTCCCTATGACAGGAGGAGACTTGAAGGGAAAAATGCAATTGCTTCTGTTTTCTTTAATGCAGTGGAAGGATTAGTAGCACCAATAGCGAATAAATCACTTCCCTTGGGTGTGGAGTTGGGGAGCTGGGCAGGGACGGCAACTCTGTCTCTTCTTTCATGCTTTGCTTTGGGACCCTGGCCATGTTTTCCATTAGAAAGAAAACAAACTCTTAAAGCTCAAACACACCTGACTGTCTATCACGTTGGAGGTGTAACCACACTCACAAGAGGTACTTCAAGGGACTTCAGAGCCCAGCGTTTTGTCTGAACCTTCCTGGTGGAATACAACCCACAGGCCAAAAAGTTGCAAAGAAAGCTTAGCTGCCCTCAGTACTTTCCTTTCTAGCAGTGACATTGGTGTCATCGTTTGAAACTGTACATGATAAAGCACACGTTATGTCAGTGGAATTCAGAGTTAAGATGTTCAGCACAAGAGGAAAGACCTATGAGGAAAATTGAGGAAAAACCCGGTCACTGTGTGTTTCAGTTGGAAACCCCAGTGCAATCCTGTGGTCTGCGTTTCTCTTTCTGGAAACACCTGTTGCGTAGCTTTGTCCATTGAGAAGGCCCAGACGCAGTCACAACCCAGCGGTGCGGCCCCACCCAGCACCCAGGTGTCCTGCTGGAAGGGGCAGGGAAGGGACAACGTGGGCCGGACCATCTCATGTCTGAAAGCAAGGAAGCAGTCAGAGCAAGGCCACGTGAAAAGCACCCAGGAGCCGACCTGACGGGACTCGCGTCCACCGAACATGTTACAGCCAGAGCCCCAGAGAGAATAGTGGGCTGAAACGTGAAATACGTAGCAACCCCTGAGGCCGCAACGATCGTTACACACACACGTGCACACACACACACACACACACACACACACCACCTCTGGAGGTTACTGGGGTACCATTATTCACTGAGTTATTTAGAAAACTTCTGACTGGAAAATCAAAACGTGTTTTGATGTCTTTGTGTGTCAGGTTAACCTGGTGAGGAGAGTTCTCACTCGGAGGTCATAGGCAAATGCCAGAGAAAGGACAGGGTTAGGAAATCACCGTTTTGTGACTTCTGGTGAAATCATGGACCTGGGCTGCTGAAAGCGTTAGGGGAGAAGTTGGTGAGAAACTTCTTACCTGCACTGATCCAGACGGGTTCCTAGAATACTCACCCAGCCGGGGAAGCCCGTCCTACATGGGGCTGCCCTCCCCTGCACACATACATGTATAGATATACATAAACACAATAGTATGCGTCTCTGAGGTTATGTAAAGATACACACATGTGCATAGAAATAGACATTGGGGGGAGGATAAACATGTTGATGAGTTTATTAACAGTGTTTAGTTGCAAAACGGGACAATTCTGTTGCACATGCTTTTGTAAACTTTGGTTCCCTGTGCATTCATTACGTTTTAATGGAAACCGTATAAAATAGAGGGGCAATTTGGGGTTAATACAAACTCAGTAAGACACTACTAACTGAAGGGGCTTAGTGACTGCAGTGCCGCCCCCTGTGGGACATCTGGGCCAGACTAGAAGAGGCCAGCGGTTCATTCCGACACAGGAGGCTGTCAGCCCCGGTCGTCTCAGCACCGCTGTGCTCTGCGGCTGTGACTGGCCTGTCTCTGCTCTCTAGGAAACGGAGACGCAGTCCTGACACAAAACTGCCCTCTCTGCGTGTCTCCTTTTGCTCACATTGTTGAAACAGTCCTGTGAGGTACAATTCACCATATTTCTCTCTACCTATTAAGCTCTACCTCTTGCTGTCTCTCCCCATCTTGGAGAAATACGCATCACCGTGTATCTCCTGCTATTTCCCCCAGTAACTCTCCTTAGGAACAGAATTTTAACGCGACATTAAATTAGGTCTTGTTAAAATGCATTTGTCTGTTTTCTGGCTGTAGCCTAGCTTTAAGATCACTTAATGAGATTAGACCCAGATTTAAAATCAAAAAAATATTTTTAGCAAGTAGTTTTCTAAATGAATGGCTAAGAAATTTTATTCTACCCTATACTGTAACCCTTTTAAAATTTTCTATATCCTCGCTTAAGGCTTAGAAGGTTTCTGTGAAGCGTTAATTGTTTGAACATTCGGAATAACCCAAGCCTACTTTTTCCTTATGAAACATCGTGTTCATTTTGAGAGAGGGGCCACTTGGCTGACAGATGTGGAGACCGAGAGCTCCCACTCAGGTGAGCCACACTGTGTGACTGAACGCATCGTGGAGACAGGTAAGAAAAGCTAAATGACTGGGCCCTTTTCCTCCTCGGTAAGGGGAAGGGAAGAGTCTTATCAGTCACAGGGACCAGGGCGGGGGCAGAAGTGCATTACACACATCACTGCTATATTTGCCGTGTTCATTAGGAGCTGTTTCCCAGTTTGTAACCTATGACTGTTCGTATAATTGCAAGTTCCGGCAATAGAAACAATTACATGTTGAGGCCACGGTGCCAGACACGAAATGACTTGGATTTTGCGTTCCTGTGCCAACCAGCTTGCTGATTCCTGCTGATCTGTGAAAACCCCAGCAGATCTTTATCATATTCGAGACTTGAAAATGCTGCCTTCCGTGGGGTGGGGGGACACCGTGGCTACGGCAAGTGGAGAGCCAGATGGCAGAGGAAGGCCTAGCGCGGACCCGCAGGAGACGGCTGGCGGACAGCTGTGTAGTCTCCGGGCGGCCCGTGCAAGAGCAAAGAGCTTCCAGCGATGGTCTGCAGGAGGGAAGCACCTCCTCTCTGCCTCTGAACAACCTCTCAGCTTCGCGTGGCCAGCACCAAAGGTGCAGGCGGCTGGCGCACCCTCCTCAGCAGCCAGAGACGGACACCGCAGCCTGTTGCAGCAAAATGTGAGCACGGGCTGTGGACAACATCCATTCTCAGAGCAGCAGCAGGCCGAAAACTGTAGTGTGCCCGAGTCATCGAGACCATCTGTCACATACGCTGCATCCAGGCGCTACACCAACAGCTGGATTCGGCAGAGCTGTGGGCTGGCGGGGGCCCGGGAATCCTGCACCCCACCCCCGCCCCGCCCCACACATCTGATGCAGGCGTGTCGATGACTTGTTCGGGTTATCAGGCAGTCAGTTGGGATGGACTCAAGCAGCTCTTTCCTGGTGGCAGCTGAAATCGCGATTCAATATTGTCTCCTTAGCTGGAGTCTGCCCCGTACAGAGAGACAGTCAGAAATTTGGGCAGAAATTGTACCAGACATGGAGGCTCCCCTCCCTGGCTCTCTCCTTTCCAGGAGCCCTCCCACCTTTTGTGGAGGCTGTGCTTGCCCCGAACTCTGTTTTGGGGTTCTCGAAGCCAGAAAGACTGCTG